TAGCTAAGTGGTTGCACCCACTGGCATGAGTGTAAGCTGAAGGTGTTGAAGTTAGGCCTCAACACCCAATTATGTATATGAGAACTGAATGGGAAGTGGGACAGGCCATGCCAGTCCACTGTACATCCTGGCAGACACAGAAACTAAGGCAGGGGGCCAGCCCAGTGGGGGTTATTAGGGGTCACTCTGACTGGGCTGCAGCTCCCAGTGGCGTATGTGAGGGCCACCTGTGTGGAGGGCAGATTTGGGCTGGGCCACAGCACCCATTGGTTGGCATAAGAAATGGGACTATAGGGCCTGGCGCCGTGGCACAAGTGGTTAAAGGTCCTCGCCTTGCACGCCCGGGATCCCATATGGGCGCCGGTTCTAATCCCGGCAGCCCCGCTTCCCTTCCAGCTCCCTGCCTGTGGCCTGGGAAAGCAGTCGAGGACGGCCCAAAGCCTTGGGACCCTGCACCCGCGTGGGAGACCCAGAAGAGGCTCCTGGCTTCGGATCGGCATAGTATCGGCCCGTTGTGCTCACTTGGGGAGTGAATCATCGGACAGAAGATCTTCCTCTCTGTCTCTCCTCTCTGTATATCCGCCTTTCCAATAAAAAAATAATAAAAATAAATCTTTAAAAAAAAAAAAAGAAATGGGACTATAGATCTGACCTAGCAATTGCAATTACCAGTGTGCACATAGGCTGATGTGGGTGACAGAATCAACTGGACCCCATATATGTGGGTGCACACACAAGAGGTAAGTCTGAGGTCACCTCAGAGGAGATTACTTTAAGGGTCCCCTCAACTAAACCACTGGACTCATAATTCCAACCATGGGGAGAGTGGCAGGAACCGTGATCTGACAATGGAGTGTATCTGTCAAAATTGGACCTCCTCAGTGGCTCTGACAGAGCAGTGGATGGCATACCCAGAGGCACATGGAGGATATGTCAGACCATTGGAGCCTGCAAAAGACACCTGGTACCACAGCAGAGAAAAGAGGGCAGAACAAATTGATCAAGTACCCCAGTGAAGCATGATGGGAAACATCTGAGCAAACAGAGACTCAGAGGCGGACTGTATCAACCTGTGGACCTTGTACGGATATCCTCATCCTTGCATCTGCAAGATCAACAGCATTTCAGAATTAATGAAACCACTTGAGCAGAACCCTTGAGGCATGCTCCACGTCAGGGACTTTGGAATGACATCAGGCGGCTATTTCCCCACCCCCAGGTGCTAAAGCAGTTGGGGGGGGGGCTGGGTATGACTTCTCCCCTCACCTCTCCTTTTCCCCCAGATACAGGAAGAAGGAAAAGAAAATGTGGAAATAAAGATCTCACCCATTTTTCCCTGATCCTTGACCCTTCCCACCCTAATCAACTATGTAATCATCAAAAATAAAATTATTTTTAAAATGAAAAAAACACTCAAAAAATAATTAAAATAAATAAACAGTTCAAGGCATACCACATCTGCTATATGGAATTATTCTATAGTAGTAGAGACATTCACTCACCTGTCTATTCATCACGACTATACATTCCTGGAGGTTAAGGGATTGCGCATGTCTTACTCATGTGGCTCACCCTGACTACTCCACAGCACACATACAGGACTCAGTCACATAGAAGCAAAGCAAACAGGCAGAAAAAGCAAGACAAAAGGAACTAGAACTCACATTCAGCTAAGACAAAAGGGTAAGAGTTGCAGTGGGTGGTGAAAATATCACACATGCAGGTTCAGAAGTTTCCACTGCCTGAAGACAGGTGCCCAAGGTAAAAAGTGAGGGCAGGGGACATGAAGTCAATTTGCCACAAGGCACGGAAGATGAGATCAGAAACTGGGACAGACAAGACAATGGGAGGACTGGGAGACCATAGATAAAATGATGGGTTTGGGTAAGGACATCTGTAACAAGGGTGGGAGTGCAAACTCCCCACATTCCTTGTAGGCTTTCATGACCACAGCAGCTTGAACCTAATTATAGACCTCTACAGGGGTCCCCAGCAAAAACTTGAGGTCTCTGTATTGTAAAAATGTATTAGGAATAATTAGAATGAAAGTTTTAAGTAAACGAAAAATTTTAATCATGGGGGCCTAGTGATATGGCTCACTGGCTAAATCTTCATCTTGTGTCAGCCTAGGACCCCACATGGGTCTCAATTCATATTCCAGCTGCCCTGCTTCCTCAGCCAGCTCCCTGCTTGAGGCCAGGGAAAGCAGCAGCAGATGAACCAAAGCTTTGGGACCTTGCATCCACATGGGAGACCTGGAAGAAGCTCCTTTTTTCAGATTAGCTCAGCTCTGCCCAATGTGGCCACTTAGGGAGTGAACCAGTGGACAGAAGATCTTTCTCTCTGTATCTCCTTCTCTCTGTATATCTACTCTTTCAATTAAAAATTAATAAATGAAAATCTTTTTTAAAATTGAATAATGTACAATGGTGTGGTGGCTATCATTATGCAAACCATTCTTGAAAACTTAAACCTATGGAGTTGCCTCAGATTTGAGGGAAATTCTCCCAGCTTTGGTGAATAAGTAATTGGACTTCATAATTATACATCTAAGAATAACTATTTTTGTACTACTGCACTTGAAACAACTTTAAGCACTCTGATCCTATATGTTCATGTTCTGAATGCACTTCAAAATCAACTCTCTGAGGCTCTCCCCTGTATATCAGCAGATTCCAAACATTCCTGTCACCAACACAACTTCCCAGGACATGCAGGGCCCCCAGGAGGCACCAAAACAGGAAGCAAACCGCAACTGGGGTCCACAGAACAGACTCTGCCATTCCTGGGCCTCCCAACTTAATTTACAGACATTGAGTACAGTGGAGACTGACTTGCCAGATTCCAGAAGTTTTACTGCAAGTCCCTGTGGAAGAGATGGGTAGTTCCCCAAGGTCAGACTCACACACAGCAGCTGGCTTCAATTATTTATCTGAAAGGCTATAGCCTGCTTCAGCCTTAACTATTGCAACCACTTGAGTAGTGAACCTGTGGATGGGATGTAAGATCTGCCTCTCTCCCTTTCTTCCAACTTTCCCATCTCTGTTTCTCTCTCTTTCAGATATATAATTGAATATGTTTCCAAAAAAATGAGAGAGAGGGAGAAAGGATGATGGTCACTAATCCTAAAGTAGAACAAGTGGCTAATTAAGTTAACATAATTAGTAGGACTTTTCTTTTTCTTTTTTCTTTTCTCTCTCTCTCTCTCAAGTTGAGCAGCTGGATCTCAAAGCAGTGTCTGTATGGAATGCTGGGAGTGCCGCATAGAGGCTTACTATGCTGTACCACAACACCAATTCTGAGGTCATTTTTTTTTTTTAGTTCCCTCCCCCCATTGGAAACACAGATTTATGCAGAGGAGAGACAGATTTTCCATCTACTGGTTCACGCCCCAAATGGCTGCAACAGAACCAATCCGAAACCAGGAGCCAGGAGCTTCTTCTAGGTCTCCCATATGCGTGCAGGGTCCCAAGGCTTTGGGTCATCCTCTGCTGCTTTCCCAGCACATAAGCAGGGAGCTGGATGGGAAGTGGGTCAGCCAGGACACCAACCCATTCCTAAATGGGATGTCAATGCTTGCAGGTAGAAGATTAGTCCATAGAGAGATTGTGCAGGATCATGCTAGAACTTTTCAAGAGAAAAGGAATTGCAGCAAGTTTACTACACAGCAAATATATTCTCCCAGGTACAATGCCTTTATCAAATGTGCTGGAAGCCAGAGTAGTATATTGTGATTTTTTTAAAAAACTCACACATCTGAATTCTTGTTTCAGAATCTGGGTTCTGACACCCATTTCAAGCCAATTAGCCTACTTCCAACAGGTGTGTATTCTTCGAACAGAATGAATTCCCTGATTTGCTTTTTATTGGCTTGCTTCAGATAGTAACTAGTGGTCATTGTACGGCTATAACATAAGCACAACCTGAATTACTTCATACTTTTATTCACTTCCAGCTATAAAGCCAATGGCTCTCATGCATCCACAGTTTGACACATTTTGAAAAGCAAATATATCAGCAAAAATATTAATTATTTTATACTGTGTCTTAGCACCTCTTTCCCTAAATTCTTTGGATGACAAATTTAACCTCACCTACTTTTTAATACTGAAGAAATAAAATGTTTTCTTACACAACTTTTTTTTCTAGAAAGATCTATTTGGCCCTGTTGCATACAACATGGAATGAAAAGAAATGGAAAGGGAAGGGAGTCCCTCTGGGGCTCTGGGTCATCAGGGAGCAAAGCCCCTCTCCCACCAGCATGCAGGACGCATTCCCCTGCTACTAGACACTTGTACTCAGGCTCAGTGGTTATCTGGACAGGTAGACAGAATCCAAGTCTGATGTTCAACACCATCTTCTTTGTGTCTCTGGGACACAGTCTTTAATCCACTTTCTCAACCATAAACCAAAGGACTATGTTCATCAGAAACATCTAGAAATACCACCAGGGTTCTAGAGCCCACGTGGGATGCACAGGTCTGAACATTCACCATCTCAGGCTACCCCGGTCCTAGACTGTGCCTGAGAGGGACTTGAATACAAGTCAAAATCCAGGTGTCCTGATGCCACAGCAAGTTCACCATGACACCTGTTCTCCTCTCAAGGCCTTGGGCGCTTTCTCCAAAACCGAGTGTCAGCAGCAAGGGAGGACTGGGAAGAGGGTTTCAGGAAAGATTTACCCAGTGGTGCTCAGAATCTTCACGAATGACAGAAGGAATTCCAGGGGATTTCAGCCAGAGAACAGGTAGCCACAAAACAGGAAAATAAGAACATGTGGCATCTGGCTCTGCGTCTTTGGGGGATGCCTACTCAACCTATTTCTGACAATCTTCTGAGAAAGTAGTCATTGTTGCCTTAAGTACATAATCTCCCATTCGTATACATGAGGCATCTCATCTCTTATAATTAGGGTGACATGCAAAATTGCTGACACACGCTAAGAAACAAAAAGAAGGCACTGTTACATGTTTGCCTTTCCAATGTCGTGTATCTATTACCTCTGTGTTAGCAGCTTCCATTGGCCTTTTCTTGATATCTCCTATGTCCAAGTAACTGGGGGAAAAACAAACAACAAGCATTATTTTTACAGGTGTTAAGTCAACTGTATAAACCTACCATAAAAATAAAGCAAGCCATAAGAAATACTTAAGCCTAAAGCAAAACTCAATCATGACTAATTAAAATCATTATAATAGTGGTCTTCTCTTTCCATCTTTCAAACAAATAAATAAATCTTCTTTAAAAATATAGTGGGAACCACTTCAGTATCATCCATCAGATCTGACAGTTGTCTATACTACATTACAGAAAGCTAAAATCTTAGGAATATCTATGTCTATTGCAGAACATTTTTCCCTAGTAGTTGGCTATTCATTACATGCATTATATTTCCAATTATGATAAGAATTTGATAAAACATAACTTGTAATGAAGGTACGTAAAGTCCTGTTTTAATTATAGACATTACATCAAAGAAAATATTAACACATGCCTTACAGTAACCATGAAGCAAGGCTGCAAAATCATTTTCTCAGTGAGACACATCAGTGGCAAGGACATGCTTAGCCACAGCAAGGTTTAGATACTGGTCCAGGCAGATGAGTGGCCTGGTTAACCTCCACAGACCCCTATTATTCCATTACTATTTGCTACAGATATTAACTAGTGACTGTTCTTTAGCTGCTGCATAAGCACAAACTGTTGTCAACCTGAAGCTGTTCTTCCATTACTGTGCTTCATGCATAGAGCATCCAACAAGTTACACTACAAAAGTAAACACCTAGCATTTAATCTGTAACTATAGAGAGGTCAGTGCTCAACTACTATGGTTGCTGGGTTGACAAAAAAAAGCTTATTTTAGAATTAATTTGGGCTACTGAATATTTTTCTTGTTGCTGCTGTTGCTTGCTTTTTTTAGATTACAGTTCTTCTAAGTTAATTGACACCTCTGGAAATCATCACATACTTATCCCACAGAAACAGCAGTTACATAAGACAATGCAAACATTCCTTCTGGCTTAGCATTAAAATGGGTCTTCTGTAAGTGCAGAGACTTTGGGGTGGGTGGGAAACCGGGTGGGGCTTCTCCCTCAATATCCCCTTTTACCTCAGATACATGAAGGAAACAATATGAAAATAATAGTCTTACCCACTTCCCTGTAGCCCTTGAATCTTTTTACCCTAATTAACTATGTAAAGGTTATCAAAAATAAAATAATGGAAAAAAGAAAAATAATAAAAATAAAATAAATCTTTAAAAGTAAAAAAAAAAAAAAGTGCAGAGACGGTTCCTAATGGAATACCAAAATGTTCTGTCATGTGCAGGACAATAATGAAAGACCCATGAAATTGATGGAGTAGTTATTTCCAAAAATACATAGGGGGTGAGTAAGTGTTGGAGAAATTTCTAGACTTTTCTGCCATAAAACAAAAATGTAGCTTGTGTTTAGTTATGGTTTCAAAATTCTTAGAAAAATATAAGTGAAAGAATTTCAAGCATGCATTTGAATATTTCTGTTTGAAAAAATATTTGATAGCTTTCTGCAACATCCTTTAGGATCTCAACGTAAGTTCTTGAGTTACTCTTAATACCTCCTGTGCTCTTTTGTTCTTCATTTGTTGAACAAACTTACGATGCTAAACTTCTATTCAGCATTTAAGTCGTCTTGATTTTTAGCATTACCGCCATAGATAATGCTACTTTAACCAAATAAAACAGTCATCCATTAGCATACAAAGCTAACCCTGGACATTGATTGTTTGAAAAAAAAATTCAGTTTTGTGTATGTGCAAATTAAAAGCAAAAGCAACCACACAAAGCTTTCATATACATATAAAAATGTACTTGTATTCGGTTTAGAAACATATCTTTTCTATATTGTGAGTTAGTCATCACTAACATAAACAAAACAGAATGTGAATTACACAAGGGAATCTGCAATTTTAAGCTAATCGTGGATTGTGAATTGGTTTTCAAACCAATAAATTGGTGTATATAGAAAATATTTAATGAATTGTATAATGACAGTGACTGGTCTTAGAGATGCCTTACTTGCATATGACACTTGGTCCCCATCAGCAGCACTTACTTATTACAAGACCCTGTGAAGAAGGAAGGATTACACTCCCTTTCCATAGCAGCAACCTGTCTAACTGAGCCAAGCAACTTGCCCAGGAACACAAAGCTAACAAACAGCTGTCTCAAGTCTCCTGGTTTTAAGCTCTGTGTTTCTATGAAGCAAAAAATATTGTTTAACTCTTTCCATAAGTTAAATGAAGAGAAAAAGAGGAAAAATGAATCCAACATATCCTTCACCTGCTATAAAAAGAAGGTGTGGCACAGCAAAAAAAACAAAACAACTAGAATTGAAGTTAAACAATTGTAGGAAAAGAAGACTGGCATGAGAGAACTTAAGTGATACTGGAAAAAGTATTTTGATCCAGTTGGAAATAGAATGTATCCACACAGATTTTTTGGGTAAAGATTTCTTTTTTTCTGTCACAGGATACGAGATGAATTCCAACTACAATCTTCAAGTAGAAATCACAGAATATAGAATTACCATCTGATCCAGCAATTTTACCTTTGGGTATAAACTCCAGAGGAATTAACTCTTAAACAGAACTGTCCACACAAGCATTAGTCATGATGACCACAAATTGATAGAACCCAAATATTCATCAGCTGATCAATGGATGAGCAGACGTGGTATATCCAGATCATGGGATACTATTCAACAATAACAATGAAGTACTGATACATACTACAGGATGAACGAACCTTGACGATAAGACAACACAGCAAGTGAGAAAACAAAATGCCCCACTTGTCTGATTTTTGCTCCTGTGCAAGAAAGAGAGGCCGAGGGTAACAGATTTCTTTTTGAGAATTATGGACATGTTTTAAAATTAGTTTGTGGTGATGACTATGAACAACAATGCAAATATAATTTAAACTACCGAAATGGGTAACCATTGTGTTATATGAAATATATTTCAAAAATACTGTTAAAAAAAATCCACCATAGAATATGCTCACTCTGCCAACTCCACACCTCTACACAACATCAACAATTTTTTTCTGATGATGCTTATTCGTTTGTATTTTTGCATTAAAATTGCTAGGGGAAAGTGGCTTGACTTCTATTAGACCAGAAGCTGCTTACTGAAAGCAAGAAGTCACATCTTTTTCATCTTTACTCCTTTTGCAAACCTTAGCCCACAAAACTGGCTAACTCACTGAGCATCTCCTGAGGGAGCCCTCAATTGGGAACTAGGAATGAGAGACACCTGTTGCTAAAGAGCCAACCCTAAGACAGCCGTGCAAATACAATGTAGCTGTAAGTTTTACCAAGCATCGTGCCAATAGCATATACACGCAGGCTAGTGAGAGGAGGGCCACCAAAGTAGGTCTGTCAATGGAAAGAAACTTGGAATAAAAAGGTTCAAAACACTTAAGTAGTGACAGCAGCATGCAGTTTTCTCCTCTGGTAATTTAGTATCCAAGACCTGTGATTTTTGTAGAAATCTGTATTTAAACTAAAAGGAAAGGTTTCAGGAGAAAAAGAAAGGAGGTGGGGGAACCTAATAGAAAATACAAAGGTATCTGTTCACTATAACCTAGCAAGGACACTGTTTACAAAGGGTCCTGCTGTTTGTACATAAATGCTGTGCCCATCACTACCACGTGAGAGTCCTTCCCGAAGTGGCACGTGTTATGCCAGCTAAAGCGTCTCCGAGAAACGCACAGCCCCTCAACCCACGGAGGAGTGGTGGGGCAGGGGTCACAGTTTCCCCCACCGCAGCCTAAGAGACTTACTTGAGTTTCTTGAAGGCCTCCTGGCCGCCGGCGACGTAGTTGCCCCCGCTCTGGATCTGGTCTAGCTTCCGGATGCGGTGGCCTGTGCGTGGGGTGTAGATATTCCTGACAGCGCCAAAGGGTGCCTGAACGCCGCCTGTCACTTCTTTCAGGAACACGTCGAAGCTGGACACCTTCTTCTCGTGGATGACCACGCGACGGCCCGCGAAGAAAGGGTCCCCGTTGCGGTACACCAGCACGCTCTTCACCACTGGCTGGGACAGGTGGCTGGGCCTGGCGCCCGAGCCGCTCATCCTCCCCGCGGGACGCCGCCCCAGCGGCCTCCTGACACAGCGCGCAGCGCAGGCCGCCTCCTGAAAGCGACCGGAGGGCGGCAACGCCACAGGTGAACCACAAGTATCGGCCGTGCGCCCGGCCCACCCCGCCGAGACACTCGGCGCTACGGGACCCGGCACACGCTCAAGTCCCTCACCGTGGCCCGCACGGCCAATCAGCGCTCTCAGTGCGCGCACCACACCTGTGCCACCTGTCCAAGGCGCACCACCTCCACACCCGAGCGCCAGGGGTCCCCGGGTCCTCCAGCGATGCGGGGGAGGAGGCGGAAAATGCCCGCAAATTATAAATACGGGGAACCCCTACGGAGTGGGTTGCGTGTTCCAAGCGGGTCAGGTGTCCTTCCTTTGTACCCTCGCCTCTCAATCTCTTCTGCTTACCCTCAAGCAACTGAGACCCTGGCTGGGGTTCCCCGGATTCTTTTTTTCTTTTTTTGCCCTGAAGAATAAATTCCTGAAGTTCATCCAGAGAGAGCAAAGACCCGCGGGGCCAGCCCCCGGCCCCTCCCCGGTGACCAGCGCCGCCGGGTGGCGAAGCTCGGTGGCCGCTGCAGAGCAGGGCAGGCAGCCGCGCGCGCTGTGACCCGGGCAAGTGGGGGCAGCACGGGCTGCCGGGGTCCCAGGAGCCCCAGGGGGCGTCCCACGGGGTTACCTACCGGCCCTGGGACGCTCATGCTGGCCCCGGTGAGGCACTTGGTGGGCAGGGTCGACAGTCGAGCTAGGCTCGCGCCTTCCTCGACTGCCGTTAGTACCTCGGGCCTCGTTAGCCCTGGGACCTAGAGGCTTGTGGTGTCCCGCCGTTTCCATAGGAACCGGGGCCTTGCAGCTGCGCGCCCGCGACCCTGGCCCGGCGCGCGCCGGATGCCTGGTGGCCGACGTGGCCGGGTTCTACGGCGCAAAAGAAACCAGGAGTCGGGCCGTGAAGTCAACAGTATCGCTTTGCCGCCTACCACGTACACACGCGCCTACTTCTGCACCAGAAACTATGCTAGAGACGGGGCACCACGGCTTTGGGAATGACCCAGGGTGTTTCTAGGACCTTCCATGGCACTAGCAATAATCCTGGGAAAGGGTACTGCACGGGAGAACGAAATGGCTAAAGAGCCGGGCGGCTGCTGCGCCCAGGAGCAGCGTCCATGGTGTAAATGGCCACCGCAGTCCACGCGAAGGAACAGGGGAGGAGAGACTGAGGCGGTTAATGGATCTCCGGAAAGAGCTTCTACATCCAGTCCAGTGGGGAGACACACAGGTCACGGGACCCAGATTCCCAAACATGCTGCCATGTCACAGCTCATCTCAGCCACGGTTCCCTCAGTTCCTCCTGGAATCTGGTACATACCCCAGATTCATTATCAAGTGGTCCTAATTCTACATTCATGAGTGAAATAGAACACAAAATCACACAGAGGAAGTGGTGTGGTTATTTGTTAATGTTCACAGACACCTTCAAAGGTAAACATTCTTCTAAATCCCTCATTTAAAGAAACTGGTTGTAGAGAAACCTCCAAAATGACCCCAGCCACCGTGGCACACCAAAGTGAGAGGTTGAATGGATCTCAGACCGAAACATTTTCCTGAAAGCCGTGCAGCACCTGAGTTCCCGCGAGGTTAACAGTTTCCAGAAGAAGTTCAGAGAGCAGAGAGCCAAACCGAGAGGAAAGACTGAGATGAGTGCTATAAACTGGTTATGGGGAGATACACAGATTGAAGGAAAGGTGACAAATGCTCCCACAGGTGAAGTAAACTTAGCTCGCCTCAATCCGCTGTAACATACAACAGATGAGTACAAAATGAGAAGGATCACTTGTTCAAAACTCAAGTATGTACTTCAACCATGTGCAAGATCCTTCTAAGTGTGGAGTGGGCTCGCTAGACCCTGAAGCCACCTGTGTCTGCTCTAAAGGTCCCCCTGTGTTATCTTGGGCCCGGGGTTTGTCTTCTGAGCTTGCACTCACTTCTTACCCAGTTACCTCTTAGACGTGATGCCGCGATAGGTGCTCCACTAGTGGCACTTTGGAGGGTGTAGCCGGAGAGTCATAGCACTTGCTAATTTTCCTGATTTACTCACAACAGGTGCCAATCTGACATCCGTGGAGGCATCAGTAGAGCTGTGTCAGCCCACCGTTGGACGGGTTGTCCACTGTGCAGTCACCACAGACAGAGCACAGAGAAGGGTCAAAGGTAGGCACTGTTCAGTTTGAGTGCTTAGTGTTGCTTCCAGTGTCATTTATTTGGCTGTACCTTTTTATCATTTACTTTTAATAACAGCCACACCATTATCGTTCCTGAAAATTTAACAGTTAATGCTCTTGATCTTGTATGAGAAAGTTACCTGCACACTTGCTCCCACACCCCTTCAATGAACCATCTAGAAGTCAGCCTCAGATTTCCTCAAAACCTTTTTTCCTGTTTCACTTTCTCTTTCTCTTAAAAAAAAATTTTTTTTTTCATTTATTTTTATTGAAAGGAGAGACAAAGATTTTCCGCTGGCTCACTCCCCAAGTAGCCACAATGGCCAGAGCTAAGCTGATCCAAAGCCTGAAGCCAAGAGCTTCTTTCTGGTTTCCCATGTGGGTGCAGGGTTCCAAGGCTTTGGGTCGTCTTCCACTGCTTTGACAGGCCACAAGCAGGCAGCTGGATGGGAAGTGGAGCTGCTGGGTATGAACCAGCATCCATATGAGATCCCGGGCGGTATCCTAGTGGCTAAAGTCCTCACCTTGCATGCCTACTCCCTTTCTCTTATAATTGGCCCCTCACTCACACATTTACTCAGAGCTGAAGTACACACATTTTTTTTTTCTTTTCCTCACAGAACACATCTAAGTATGGGAAACAAATCACAAATAGTCACGTGCGTTTCACCATCCTCTTCTCATCCTCATTGCCCAGTGATGACTGAGAGCGTCTTCTCTAAGTTGCCAAATATTGAAGGAGTTAAGAATAACTAAAAGTAATCGCATACCATTTCTTTCCACTTAGAATATGAGATGAGTAATCACAAGCTCTTAACTCTGGAAACTTAAATAGGCAGATACATCTTCCTATTATAAAGTGAATGTCAAAGAAATCTGGATCAATTGAAACTCTTCATGAAAGAAACACACTTCCTTAAGTTGCTATTTTCTTTCTCTAAGAACCATAACACAATTTCGTTTTACGACTCACTATTAGAAAACTCTACCATTCACTGGAAGCGAATGGGGCGAGTCGAGGGGCAGAAAAAAGAAAAGCTGAGAGACTTCACATGGAGACCTCCTATGGCTGCTAAGAAAATGGTTGTTGCCCTTGTTTCCCTGCAATTAGCATAGTGGCAAATGTGTTGAAGATTTATGATGCGAATTGATCTACGAATGCAAGGTGGTGCTGGCATGCAAGGAGAAGTAGGAAGGGAGGGACCTTGAGGAGAAATGAACAACTACTGTGAGATGCCCTCGTCTGGTGTAAAAAAAAAATATAAGAAAACGTCTTCATGACATTGAACTAGACAAAAATTTTTTTCAGGCGAAGGATATTACCCCTCACCTGCAGAGCAAGGCAATCAAAGCAAAAACTGACAAATGAGATATCAAACTAAGAAGTTTCTATGCAAAATAGAAAATAGTCAATACAGTAAGAGGACAACTTAGACAATGGGAGAAAACATTTGTAAGCTGTTCATCTGAAGGGATTGATACTGATATCCAGAAAAATAAGGAACTCAACGCAATGCCTTAAATTTCCAATTTTAAAAAAATGGGCAAATGATCTGAATAGACATGTCTCAAAAGAAGATACAAAATAGTCCATGAGTACATGAAACAATGCCCAAAAAAACTAATCATCATAGAAAGGGAAATCAAGACCACAGTAAGCTATTGTCTCACCTCAATTAGAATGGCTACTAACAACAACAAAAACCAACTGCTGGTGAGGAAGCTCTCACACACTGGTGACAGCAATGCCAATTAGTACATCTCATATGAAAAGCAGCATGGGATTACCTAAAAAAAAAAAAAAAACACTAGAAATAGAATTAACATGATCCAGTATCCCAACCATGGATATATGTATCCAGAACAAAGGAGAGGAGGTACTTCCATTCATATTTATTGGAGGTACAGAGATACTTCCATTCATATTTATTGAAACATTATTCACAATGGCCATGATATGAGATCAACCAAGGTGTCCTCTGAATGGATGACTGGAGGAAGAGAAAGTGGTTGCGCATAAGCAATGGAATAATATCCAGTTATAAGAGGGAAAACAGACAGTCCTGTCATTGGCAGCAACACAGATGAGCCCGGAGGACCTTGTGTTACATGAAAGACTGCATATCCCCGCTTAGATGTGAAAGCTTAAAAAGTTGACATTCTAGAAGTAGAGAGTAGAATAGCTTTATTACTAGAGTTTCGAGATGGTAGGAGGGAGAAAGGCAGGGAGGAAGGATGGTTAATGAGTACAGGAGGTGCAACTGGACAGAAGGAATAACTTCTAAGGTGTCATGACACAGTAGGATCAGTGACTGAAAAATCATTATATGTATCAAAATAATAGAATTTTGAATGTTCCCAACACAAAGAATTTTGAGGTAGCATACATTCTAATTGATCTGACCATTACACACAGTATACATGCACTGAAGTGTCACACTGCATTCCATAAACAAGCATAATTATCATGTATCGATCGAGAATAAAAATACATGCCTGCGAAGTACTGCTTTTGCTGCCTCCTAAAAATAAAGATTAATAAACCTCCTTCCACAACAGCGTAAGTTACGCATCCTAAATAACCCTCCACTTAAAACAATAAAAAAACACTAGGTTTTTGTAAATACCTAAATCTGTTTGACATGCATGGTCAATTTGGCAACAATTGAAAGAATTCTGAAAACTCAAAAAAACAAATGAAAACAGACACCCCAGGAGGTAAGCAAGCTCTGCAAACAGCTTTAACCCTAAGTAGCCCACACCCTGGTG